CGAAAAGCTTTGAAATGTTAGTCGTTAGCAGTCCTTCCTATGAAAAGCATCAGCCGTTCCAGTGGTCGACCACCAAGTTATCCAAAACCATCAGACATGAGGGACATCCAGACAAGTGGGCGTTCGGCCCCTATTTCATCAAATGGTATCCGTTTGAGAGTGAGATCGCTGGGGTGACCATCGCTGAGTCGCCAGCCCTGTAATCATCACTTTATAAGTGCCCTAATATTAGCCACAATGTACATCATAATATTATTATCACAAAAATGTCTATTTATTTAAAATATGTCTTCATTTGTAAACTTTTCGCAAAATATACACAAATATATGACTAAAAACTAAATACTATTGAAAGCAATAAATATTAATTTGAAAATCATTTCTAAGACTTATCACAAAAGAAATTATCATTACTTTTGAGATTAGTTTGAAAGTTGTGACCAATTGGTGGCAACCACTTGACGAGCCATTCAAACCCATATATAATTCATACATTTGTCCGCAATTTATGGCTAATTATCGACAACATCTTGTCGTCGATGTCCGCAATCAATGAGGGGTTGGTTTCTTGCCGTCGACGTAGAAATTTCTTGTGGCCGCTGGAAGTGTCAGCTCAATGCCAGACAACTCTTTGGTAAGTGTTATTTGACAGCCTTTTGGGGACACAAATCAATTACAACGACATTGAATGGTAAAGACAATGAGAGGTAGACATTGACGGACTTAGTCTGGAGTTGACCTTCAGGAAGGGCGCCATATCTAACATGTCTTCCTCTTCCTCCTTGGGCTCCGGGAGTCTGTCATAGAAGGGTTGGTTGACATAGACATGACACGTACAGCAGGCCAGGGAGGCCTCGCACGCGCCCTCGATCTCCACACCGCTGTCGTGAGCCAAATACATGGCGTTCTGACCCACCCTTCCCTTCACGGCCGTCCTCTCGCCCGTCTTCGACACGTATATCACATCCACGTCTTCGGCCGCATCGCCGCTCCTTTCGGCACCAGTTTTCGTGCAAAACGTGCGACACTTTTGTGTCAATAATAATAACCTCTTCTTTCGTATCATTTCTTTAATCAATAGATTTCTCGCAAAACACGACATAATGTCCACACATTT